GTGCAGGTGCACTCGACTTCAATCTTAATTGACTAGGATTGTCAGTTTTCCTATCGAAGGTTGGTGGTTTTCACCGGGCACTCCGGCTTCCTCCACCAATAAAAACTGGTCGCCACGAAATAGCCCAAAAGCGGTGCTTAAAAGTGGCGTTAAAACACCAAAAATCAAATCAAAATCAAATCATTTTGAAACTATACACCCTAGGTAGGGAAGAAGAAAGATCATTCTGATAGACTTTTGGTCTATGGGTATAAAAGAGCAGGAAACTGTTCTGGTTCTAAATTACATGCATTGATAAAACTAAGAGTCCTTGGCACTTACTATAATTATTAGAAATATTGATGATTTAGTTGTAGCTCTCCTTAAGCAGACTGGTTTTTAACTGAACCATACGTAAATGATTCAAACTACATCTGGGACATATTTTTATGAACTGTCAACAATCAGAGTGAAACACTTGCAGTCAAGTCTTAATAAAGATTACTTTTTATGTAACTTAATGTTCAAAAAACTACTTCTGATCATCTACTGTGAAGATATAAAGCATGAAAAATTAATTATTAATTGAATTTGTTATAGCATGTTCTTGGTCCTTTTTTCTTTTTTTTATAAACTTTTTCCTCAATATCTAGTGATGCAGTGTGTAATGTATATTAATTATTTCATCATATCAGCAATTATTCAACAACGCTTTTTTTTGGAATCCTTATGAATTATATAATACTTCATCTGAATAAGAAAAGATAGAAGTATTGATTTTCTGTTGTATTTGAACAGACAGAAGAACTTTTAGAAAGCATTAAAAATTATCAAGAATTTACAAAATTACTTTTTGATGTCAGGATATATCATTTAATATCCTGTCATGATCAGCAGACACTAAAAAACGAATGTCACTGATAACTAAAAAGCTTTTTTTCATTAGTAAGAAGAAAAAACTAGAAAAGTAGCAAAATACAAGTTAATACAGCCATTTCAAGTAAATCTATCAATGAACATATCGTAGAAAAGGATGAGACACCACAGGCTAGTTTTTTTGTTGATTATGTCTTAGTATTCAGGAGAAGACCTATCTATATTGAAGTACATCCCCTATACTATTATATAACCATACATGCAAGAGTTAAGGTTTCAAACACTAGTCTTAATCTGCCCTAAGATAGTGAGATTGTAACATTAAGTCAACCTCTTTATTGGTTCTCTTCAGTCATATCATAAATGTTTTTATCCTATAGGGGATATAGTATTAAACACAGATCTTTGATAGCCTTTGTTGAATTTATTGACAACTTTTCTATACTCTGGACAATTTGTAACACATTGTAAGGACACATGTCTTTTGTTGAAGACATTATGTTTACCTCGACATTTGTTGAAGACATTATGTTTACCTCGACATTTGTTGAAGACATTATGTTTACCTCTACATGTCTTTTGTTGAAGACATTATGTTTACCTTGACATTTGTTGAAGACATTATGTTTACCTCTACATTTGTTGAAGACATTATGTTTACCTCGACATTTGTTGAAGACATTATGTTTACCTCTACATGTCTTTTGTTGAAGACATTATGTTTACCTTGACATTTGTTGAAGACATTATGTTTACCTCGACATTTGTTGAAGACATTATGTTTACCTCTACATGTCTTTTGTTGAAGACATTATGTTTACCTTGACATTTGTTGAAGACATTATGTTTACCTCTACATGTCTTTTGTTGAAGACATTATGTTTACCTTGACATTTGTTGAAGACATTATGTTTACCTCGACATGTCTTTTGTTGAAGACATTATGTTTACCTTGACATTTGTTGAAGACATTATGTTTACCTCTACATGTCTTTTGTTGAAGACATTATGTTTACCTTGACATTTGTTGAAGACATTATGTTTACCTCAACATTTGTTGAAGACATTATGTTTACCTTGACATTTGTTGAAGACATTATGTTTACCTCTACATGTCTTCAACAAATGTCAGTATGTTTACCTCTACATGTCTTTAGTTGAAGACAGTATGTTTACCTCTACATGTCTTTTGTTGAAGACAGTATGTTTACCTCTACATGTCTTTAGTTGAAGACAGTAAGTTTACCTCTACATGTCGTTTTTTATTTGTTTTTGGTTCTGTCTCATTGACATACACACCACATCTCCTTTTATTTATATGCAACAGTTGTAGTTATAATTAAGAAACTAAGACATTCCATGACTTAGCACTGCCTGAAAATCAAATTCTCTTTCATCTGATGCATACAGACCATTTTTGTCCTCTAGTGCATTTCATTAGTCAATTTTGTTTTTAAAAAATTGTGAAATAATGATCTTTAAAGATATACTTGTATGTACACAACATAAATTATATTTTCATCTGTTTCTGAAGTAAAACTTAACAAACAAGAATATATGTCCATAGGACACCATGACCTTTTCACACCTTCACATATTCCATGTTCAATAACTGTAAAATCTGAGTCACAACCATAATTTGGTATATTTTTAAGCATGAAAAGTAAGTCATAGAGACCCAAAATTTTGCACACCAGTATTTTTATTTAATGAGTTTATATCATATTTTCTGTTAGCTTTCTCAGAAATGCACCTACATGTGAAGAGTAACTCAACTGAATAAGACAAATGGACGTACAGATGGACAAGGGTAAATCTATAAACTCAGCTTCTTTGTATAAGCCTTGTACAGAAACAATGTTAGATAATATCCTCCCACAGATCAGACAATTCCTGTTAAATTAAGTATACATCATTATCACCTGCATTCGTTTTACATGTGTGCTAAGACAATCTCAGAACTAAATGTCAATTACAGTTTGTTTTATTGTGAGTAGATTTTATTACCAGACTTAAAAGCAATCGAAAATTTATCTTCAGATATTTTCCTGCGATCAAATAGTAAAAGACTGTAATGGGTTCGACAATTAGATAGATGTTACGTAACATAAACTTGGCGAATTATTCACAAAGTGCTATTTAGTTACATTATTTGGGGACAAATTTATTGACATTTCATGTGACAGTAGTCTAGTATGATAATTCTGTATTGAAGTATTGGTGAACAGAATTGGTCAGACAGAATAACAGCCAGTTAAACATGATTTAGCCATTATGCGTTGGTATTGACATTCTCAAATCATTTTCAGTGGTGATTCATGTTTCCTTTTCCAAGTAATATGAATTCTGACCACTCTAAGATATTATTTTCGAAGAATACTTTTGTCTGATTTTCAAAAATTTATGACAATATGAAGAAAGAACTCCTGAAGTTCATCAGTGGCTCTTTCTTTTGTCTGTGCCAGGATACTTCCTGGCCCACTTATCATAAGCTGCTATACTCAAATTTTAGCTCTATAAATATAAATATTTTTTAACTAAAAAATGCAAATTTATTAAAATGGATGTTTTATCCTATATCTATGGTTTGTTGGAGACAATGTTGAAAGCATAACAATTATGATATTTAACTAGTTTTAGTCTTACTTTCTGTTTACATGCACTTTAAATGTCTATTCCATTCTGTGAAAAGATGAATGTGGGTGAGATACACAATCTATTTGAAAAATTATGGTGGTCTATGTATGTGACCAATGTTGACTTAAGTAAAAATGAACTAAACTTTAGCTAAAAATTAGTCAAAACTATGATTTTCATTTTAAAGGATGCAATTATGATGCCATAAAGATGTCATCACTGCTGTAATGAATCAGAGATTGATGATTTTGTGTTTGTCAAATATTTTCACATATTTTTAAATGTTTACCACAATTACTGAAGTTAAATTTTATGAAATTTTAGGGCCAATATTGACACTTTGTGAACCTACTCCCTTTATGCAAGGATGTTTACCAGCTGTACATTTGTTGTATCATATTGATGAATTATTGTACACAACCTCCAACTTTTTTTTTAGTTTAAAATTTGATATATTGAACAATATCAAGTATTTGAATTATAAGGGGAGATATCTTCTTCACTGAAAAATGACTTCCATTTTGCTTTTCATCCCTTAGTCTTTGAAATAAAGCCATCTCTTTAGACCATATTCTAAAATTCTTAAGTTAATTTTCTTTCTTTTTATGTTACATACTATCAAAGGAAACCATGCACAAACCTGTAGCATGCAAAACATTTTGGTAACATATCATATATACTTTGTTATGGTTTTATAAAATGCATGATATAATTACATCTTGGCAAGTAATAAATGAATCTATCGTATTTAGTCTATAAATACATAAAAGGTAATTTCCCATTAAAATACTTTTTTATGAAAACAACTTGATTGATAGATATAAGGAGATGTGGTATGAGTGCCAATGAGACAACTTGATTGTATGGAAGCCTTTAAAACTTCTTATCCATAACAATTTTAATTTAAGCAAATACAAATGGCTATCCAAGTCTTAAAGTAATTTTAATGATTTTCTTTTTTTAATTCCTGTCAACATCTTTTCTTATCAAATAATTTCTCATTGTTTTACATAAAATCTGTAGAAATTATTTTAATTATTTAAAGCGTGAAAACTACTAATTAAGTAACAGCAAGGTAAAAAAGAACACCTGAATAGAAGAGTGCTTCATGTGTATGATATAAATTTAAGTAACATAGTTAATCTCTCAAAGTGAACACAATTTTAAATGGCAATTCAGTAAATATCAAGCATTTCACCCAATACCGTGTCAACAGTCATTGAATTAGAAAGACAGTCAATTTTAATTTCCAGAGTAAAGGAGATTATACATGATCATTGCGTTGTGCATACTTTCCAGTACAACGGTCGTTATTGGATTGTCTATTACAACTGATAGCACGACTAACTTCCTTTTGACTTCATCATACGACTCACTTCAAAATAGACTTGATAACTTCTCAACAATGGGTTGATTGATTCATTTATATATGTAATTACTCTTGCCATGTTTCAAGGATTATCTGACTCAAATTTCATTATTGTCTTAGTATTTGTAAATTTGCTCACCATTTTCAAAACAGATATTTCCCAAAGTTCTGCAAGCTTGCGTTGCTATGGAGATGTCTTCTGATTCCAAAATTGGAAGGAGAATAGGAACGAATCCCAAGTTGACACATGGAACTCTCAAGGCCTCTGAAATAAGGTTATTTATTATTCTGTTTGTTCACATCAAATCAATTTCAATTTGTATTTTTTTTCAATTTTTCTTTAATTTAGAAGCATGATTTTAAAATTTAACTTTGAATGCAGGAGTAATTGATCTCTGTAGAGAAATTTTATAGAACTGTAATATTGGTTTGAAGCATATTAATTCTGTTCCAAATTTTTTTTCCTTCTAATGACTTGATAGAATCCTGTCAAAATTCTGAGAAATTACAATTCTGATCAGAGAGCAGAAACTGTAAATATTACATTAAAGGAAAGCTGTTAGACTCAAGAGATTTAGATGTTATTCGCAAATAAAATGATCGAACAAAGTCTGAAACATCTTTCACAGAAATATATAACCACTGAATTTAATAGGCACTGAGGCATACATCTAAATGTACTTTATGTAGAAAGAGGGAAGATAATTGTATATTTTGAAGAATCAAACAAACATTGGCCTATAGTTGCTTACTACCACTTAATTTTAACTCTGCTGGATAGTTGTCTCATTGGCAATCATACCACATCTCCTCATTTTCATACTGGTAATTAATTTTATTGTTTTTTTAACAAAAGTGACTTTTCTACCATGTAGGTTAGAAGGATAATAGAGAAACTGAAGAAGGCCAGTGGTCAAAATGTCTAAAACAGTTTGATTACTACAATAATGTAAATATGGCCCCTATTGGAATTTCTAAAGAACAATTGTTGTTATTGACAAAACTCATCAATTTTTTCCATTTACGCCTACAACTGAAAAATATCTTACTATGCCAGTCTATAGTTATATTGGTTCCCATTTACAAGCTATTTCCACTGGTGTTAAATATCTGTGACATTCTACAGACAATCTATTCAGATCCAAACAACTTCACACTTAGTCAGTAAATGACTTACTATATATTGCCTCTTAAGATGTGATAAACTTTACACTGTGTCAGTCTAGTTTATGTTACTCATACTTTTACCAGTTCACGTAATATCTCTGTACATTGGACTCATCAACATTTCACAAATTTAGCTAATATGGACTTTGGAGTAGTCTGTCCTGTTGCATTGCTAATACTCATCATCTTTTGCAATTTCATTTTTTTTAAATATTTATCTAAATGAAACTTAACAGAGCATTTCCTATTGTATTTTAATACATTGTACCCAAAAAGTTTCAGCTATACTATTATTAGTATTACTTTTTACTGATTCTGTCCTACTGAATAAATCAATACTCACCAACTTTTACCTATTCAGCAAGTATCTGTATGATTTTTGACTAAGTCTGTCCTTCTGAATTTGCAATTACTCACCAACATTTGCCAGTTCAGCTAATATCTGTATGACTTTTGACTAAGTCTTTCGTACTGAATTTGGTGCCTCGGTGGCCTAGTGGTCTAAGTAGTCCAACTACTGTATCTCTAGCCAGTCAACACTGTGGTTGTGAGTTCGAATCCTGCACGGGACAGGTGCACTCGACTCCAATCTTAATTGACTAGGATTGTCAGTTTTCCTACCAAAGGTCGTGGTTCTCTCTGGGCACTCCGGCTTCCTCCACCAATAAAAACTGACAACCACGAAATAGCACAATAATGTTGAAAGTGGTGTTAAACAATAATTAATCAATCAATCAATCCTACTGAATTTGTCAATACTCACCAACTTTTGTCAGTTAAGCTAATATCTGAATGACTTTTGAGATTCTGTCCTACTGAATATGCAAATACTCACCAATGTTTGCAAGTCCAGTTAATAGCTGTTTGACTTTTGACTAAGGCTGTCCTACTGAATTTGTCAATACTCACCAACTTTTGCAAGTTCAGCTAATATCTGTATGACTTTTGACTGAGTTTGTCCTGTTGTATTGGTCAGTATACTATAAAGATCATCTAACATTCCACCCTCAGCTGCTGTTTCTATAGCTTCCTCAACTGTGTCTTCTGAAAAAAAGTAAAGTAAATTCAGACTTAGTGATATGTGCATGCACTATTTTGCAAAAACAAATTCTTTTCTCAATTTTTTTACAATAACGGACTAATTTTTGATTGTTTAATATGCCAAACTGGCTGAATGTAGTTATAAATATATACATGTATGCCTAATGGATCATCTTTTCGGATCATCTTTTCCCAGAATTCTTGAAAAGTGTCAGTCTGGATCATTTGAATGATAAAATTTGAATCGTCGGACACATGCTGTTACAATGTCAGTCCAAATGTTTAACACAAGCAATGATTTTTTTAATAGAATCAAAGAACTGGACTGATGAAAATGTATTACAGTATGGAGTAACAAACTTTCAAACAGTCGAAATATCCTCCAAACACAGCCTTTCAAGTCATCAGGATTGATCGATTTCAAAATCCAGCAAATTTATTAATAAGTTATACATTCAAATATGATTCTTAAATTGTGCAAACAGACTGAACAACAATTATATGTAATGCTCAGATAATCGGAGGTTCCCCTGGAGCCTGTATCCTCAACATGAAATTTATGTATAATATTGTCTTAATAAATAAATCAGTTGATTTGTGCTTACTATCTGTTGAACTTATTTCCTCTGGTATAATAATTCTACATTCTCAATATATATGTAAAACCATTAGGAAAGGAACCAAGGTAGTGCTTGCCATTAGTCATGTCTTAATGTTTCTTGTTCTGATAGCATATATCTCAGAGAGGCTCTGTTTAATTTATTCCTCTATTATTTCTAGACTTTGATTAGGAGCTCAACATATTGTCTACTGTTTGACTATATGTTGACCTTTAGATATTTTTTTTTTTTTTTTGGTGTCATTGTCTCTTTACATATACCCTACGTCTCCTTTTATTCATATTCTCTTAGAACCATTGGACAGATGTGCAGACTAAAACTCCATATGCGTGAAACAGGTAGGGTTTAAAGAAAATGTCCTGAAAATGTTTAATGGCACCCCCCTCTGTCAAAGGTCAGAGATAATCCAACAAGATCTGAATATTAGTGTTTAACCACTGTTCTCCAAGTTAAATTCTGGAATGCAATGACAATTACAGGAGTCATATGAATAAAAAAAAATTGTATTTTTCAAAACATGGTGTTAATCTTCCCTTGGTGTATATACAAATGGTTCTCAGTAGAAAGCACTTCTCATTCATTGTAAACTTTACTATGTACATGTATCTTTTGTTATTCCAAAGATAAATATAAATAGGGGGAGGGGTAAACATTAAAGAAAACAAATTTAATCTAGCCACATGTTATATGACAGGGGGAGGGGTAAACATTAAAGAAAACAAATTCAATCTAGCCACGTTTTATGACTGTCTGAAGACAAGAATCTTGCTAGTGCCTGCATTTGTTTATACAGTTATATCATTATATCTTCAGGCATTTTTGCAGTTTAAGGAATTTGATGTTGACGGTTTCATGGTGTTTTTTTTTTAAATCTATCACAAAAGACTCTATATAAATCTAATTCTTATTCTGGGATGACTATAAGCTACCATCAACATCATCAACAAAATTTTTTGATAGATTGTGTACTCAGAAAAAGATATTCTGCACCTTTTAAATTAAATCATATATACTAATTATGCACTTAATTGTTCAGTTGTTGAACAATTTATGATGAAAATTTAAAAATTGTTTGTAAAACATATCTTACCATTGTCAGCACTTGTAAGATAATTCAATATTCTGTCTAAACATTCGTTCTGTTCATCTTCATTATCCAAAATCTGTAACTTTTCTAACATCTTCTGCACTTTTGATGGCTGACCTTCAGCTGAAGGAAACAAATTTTCCATTTGATTATCTAATATGAAATGGTTAATTCTACATCTATTACAAATCAGCAGATTAGTCCCACAAAATTATTTAACGAATAAATTTGAACTATGATTGAAACTTAACTGGAACGCTGGAGAAAATGATCAATACAAAAGTTGTATATTCTGTCAATACATACCATGACTTATGGCAATATGGGACTGGCATTTCAATCCAATAAGTTACTAATTTCCATGTATTTTCCTCAATGCTTCAAATAATCAGCTATTACCAAGTAAGGATAAAATTTACCCTAAACTAATCATGTTACATAATTGTAGCAATCAGAGACTGTGTATCGGTGACTCTTTTCCAACTGTTAATATCACAGTATAGAATATAGAATGAATGTTAAAGATAAACTAAAAACACATACATTTAAAATCTGATGAAAATTGTTTTAAGAAGCATGTCCAGGAGTTATTCACAACTGGTGAAAATAGACCTTTTTCTTTTTTCTTTGGTCAACATTTAACATGAATTTTATTTGACTACTAATAATATTCTCCCAATTCAAAATCGACATTTGAATAAACCGGTAAATATAATTTTGGAATTACAGCTCCTTTTCTTTAGTTTTTTATCCATGCAATACCATTCGACAATCTTGCACAATTTGATGTCACCATGACTTTTTCAGTTTTTCATTTTTATACACACAATATGATATTTACAAGGTGCTACATGTACCTACTAATTACAATCATAGGTTTCATAACAAGTGAGAATTGGATATCACTTGATATCAAATTGAGTTATTTTTATCATAATTCTATATCAAATGGGCCTTTGTTGAGCTTATTGTTATTATTTTGAAAATTGAATAACTCAAAATTACATGAAAAGGTGGTTATGTGTTTGGCTGCAAAACGGTTTGACATCATATGTCTGCTTTCGGCATAAAGTTTAACATTAGACATTTTAACTCTTTTTGTACACTTCAAAATGGAATTAAATTGATGAAAAGAAGATTTTCAGGTGAAAAATGTGCATGTTTTGTATAGAATATTAAAGAAAACACATTCATCAATTGCCACGGATGACAAGCAATCTGTTGTAACCTTTGAATGTCTCCATTGACCTAACTTATATCCAATCAAAATGGTGCTATTGTCTTATCACATTGCAGGAGAAGCCTACCACATTAAGGCATATTTCTATCCCACTATGTTTAGTGTGATATAACAAATACAATGTAGATCTCTTTATGAGATATATAGGTAACTGGCCACAACCAAAAGAGAGTATATCATAGATTCATCTACAAATGTACCAACTGAATAACTGCATAACTCATAAAAACATTTTGATAATACAAAACTAAATCTCAAGACCCATAAAGTACCATTCTGAAAGTAAAGTTTCCCACTATTATTAATATTCAATATATAATAATACCTAATCTTCATTTATCGCTTAAATTTTTTATGTGTGATTAACTTAATATCTAGAAAAACTTTCAATCAGGCAATTCTCCCATTAGTTCTGCTATTTAGCCTAAGATTGTTTCAAATTGACAGTCACTCCTGTAGTCTGATGTTCAGTGGTTGTCGTTTGTTGATGTGGTTCATAAGTGTTTCTCGTTCTTTATATAGATTAGAGTAGACCGTTGGTTTTCCTGTTTGAATGGTTTTACACTAGTCATTTTTGGAGCTTGCTGTTTGGTGTGAGCCAAGGCTCTGTGTTGAAGGCCATACTTTGACCTATAATGCTTTACTTTTACAAATTGTGACTTGGATGGAGAGTTGTCTCATTGGCACTAATACCATATCTTCTTGTATCTATCAGATATGACTTATAAAAATGTGAAAAATTTAATATTCATATTCATATATATCCTCCAAATTTGTGATGTATATTGTATTTGATAAGTGGGAAATAATTCAGTGTCTTGTTTATGTAGATATAAGAAGATGTGGTATGAGTGCCAATGAGACAACTCTCCATCCAAGTCAAAATTTATAAAAGTAAACCATTATAGGTCACAGTACGGTCTTCAACACGGAGCCTTGGCTCACACCGAACAGTAAGCTATAAAGGGCCCCAAAAAATTACTAGTGTAAAACCATTAAAATGGGAAAACCAACGGTCTAATCTATATAAAAAACGAGAAACCAGAAACACTTATGAACCACATCAACAAACGACAACTACTGAACATCAGATTCCTGACTTAGGACAGGTGCAAACCAATGCAGCGGGTTTAAACGTTTTAATGGTACCAAACCTTCACCCTTTTTTTGAAACAATAGTGTAACATCACAACATAGAAAGACACACTATAAAATATCAACTGAAATAGCTTAACTCAATCAAAGGACATATTAACACCATTGAACATACACTGAACAAATAAATTTGACCTATGACAATGTAAATACAAAATAAATAAACTAAGGGAAGAATAATAAAAGTAACATGTTATATCGGTAAGAAATGTTAAACAATTAAAGAAAAACAATAAGCTCGAACAAAAATATCAGCCATTTGCAAAAACTTTAAACACAGGTAAATGAAAATAATTTTGTTGTTAGGTATATGTGTACAGTACCAATAGAGAAAGGAAATATTTTTACAAAATAAATAATTTTGATGTTCATAGTACGAAGTGAAAATTTATAGTTATACCAAACACTTATCAAGGCTGTGTACATGTACATGATGTATCAATATTTTGCCTCAATTTGATTTTCATAAAAGGAGTATGTCTGGTAAGAGCCGATTTTGGCCTCAAACTTCAGATTCATCTGATGAAAGATTTTGGACACTTTTTAAACACTTAAGTGTCTACTTCAGTCAATTCAATTAGTTTATGTGAAAGATTTGAACTGATTAAGTCATTATAGACGCTCAAATTCAAGCTTAGATATGAAAAATCTATCAAATACAAAATAAAAAATCTGCTGGTCCTTGTAAATTCAGAAATTATTGCGTGCATTTATTATTGCGATTTTTCAAAAATGGACAAGAATGCGAGTTTAATTATTGCGATTTCAGCAAAATCTACATACAGATCTATATTCTAGTTATCAAAATGCGAGTTCTTATTATTGCGATACTCATCTACTCGCATTATTCGCAATAATAAAAACCTCGCAATGATTTCTGAATTTACAGCATGCCAAATTATGTCACTTTTTAGATGGTTTTTGTCAAAAATGAAAGTGGCCGCATCCGTGTTTACTCTCAACCTTTATATATGTTATGTATTATCATCAAATACAACTTACATTTAAATATTAAGAATGAACACAAATGCGGCCACTTCCATTTAAGACGGAAACCGTCTAAAATTTAACTCAAATGCTAAAATTGTAAAGATTTCAGTAATTAAGCACGACTTAATGATGCTAGTACACGATATATGTGCATTGTATTGTCAAAAACAGCACATATTTATGTAACAGAAGTATTGTACTTTCCAATAAATAGCTAAAAGTTTACATTTTAACAATTTTGTAAAACAGCTATATTTTGGGGCCAAAAAGGGGTCTTACTGGACCTACTCCTTTCAAGTGAACTTTGATTTCAGTTTGGTCCTGACTTGCCATGCATCTTAAGGAAATACCATCATTCCAATGTGCATAATGATATTCTGTGGATTCTTAACCAATTTTCGTGGATTAAGGAAAAATGTGTATTTTCCTGGATATTTGATTTCGTTATTTTACAAAAGTCTGCATACATGTACAGATCTATGGAAAATTTGTTCTTCTTTGAACATTCAAATTCATGGTTTACCTGTACCAACAGTCAATGCCACCAAATCCATGAAAATTGGTATCCCACGAATAATAATGAATCCATAGTTATAGAGCGCTATTTTGTCAGTTTTTCAAATATTCACAAATTTCAACATTTAGTTTATTTAATGTCAAGTGTCTATAAATAGAAAACAGAGTTCTCGAAATCAATTTTCCCTGGTTGTCCTTGAAGAAAATCTGCTGGTCCTTGCTATTATCTTTATTGAAAAATACCAAAATTTTGTTGATAATTTTGGTGGTCAAAACCTTCGGACCACCACTTTTCGAGAACTCTGAGATAATGTCATATGTTCCCAATTCTAACATAAGAATACAGCATGTAAAACCTGATATTATCATGCAGTTCTCTCTTTTATTTTCTGTAAAATCATTGGATGAAAATTCAAAAATAGACCTACATTTGTAAACAATGCATTTTAAATCAGTGAATGCATCTTAGAAATGTCTTAAAATGATATATATATATATATATTCAAAATCAATCCACTGATTTTTATATTGAAACTGTTTACTACACATTGCACGTTTCTCCTGACTCATCAAAAACATTGTGTTTTGATAAAGGCTCATAAATAACAGCAACATTTAAATAATGTCAAAATTCCAAAGATACTAAAGTATGACTAAGACCCTAAAATCCTCTTTGAAACTAAAATGAAGAGGTGCCAATACATGTAACAAAGCCAACTCAGTATCAATTATCTAGTACAAGTTCTTCTTTATAAACAAAACTTCTGAGTTCCATTGAATGCAATGCAATGATCACCGACAAAAATATAAGGTTGACAACTTTTTCAGTCTTTGGTGTCCTGGCGGAAGACAAAGTTTCTTAACTTACCCAACAAGTGTCCTGTTTATAGGAGTCCCATAAATCCACTTTGCTGGCAGAAATCAATTTTAAATAACTTGATATAGTGCTGAATATACATAAATATATTAGACACTAGTCAATAAGCAAACAATCACTCACTCATACTGCAATACAACAACAAAAAATACATGTCAGCGAGAGAGAGACCCACTTTCACATTTTTGTGTTAGACACAGAGACTGATGCATACAAAACAATTCATGTCCATAGGTTGTCAATTTTCATAAATTTTGACACTAGCAATTATTTCAGGATACATGTATGTTCTCCATAAATATAACTATTGTTAAAATCCAATGCAAGCACTATTTATTTTAGTTGGCATTTTCCAAAATAGTTGGCAACCAATAATTTTTGATACAGAGAATCATTTAAGAAAAGTAAATTATACCTACACATTTATTCTCATTGCCATCCTAGCAGAAACAGATTTTTCTCAAAATTTAAGATATTTCTTTAATAAAAAACAAAAGTTTTACCACAATTTTGACACCAGGGAACAATTTAGAGTGCATATTATACCAATAAACCATTTTTTGTTGAACTCTAATACAAAAAGATATTTCTCAAAAGCTTACTTTTTACACTATGTTTGATATCAAGAAACAATTTGGAATAGCATATTAAACCTAAAGATATCAATTTTTGTTCAAATCCTGCCATAAAAATTTGTAATTTTCTAACAAGCATATTTATAACATATTTTCTTAATTGGCAAATTCCATCACTTTACAAAAGCTTATAAAATCTATTTATATACACTTTTGTAGAAATTCTATTATTATAAAATAAGAAGACATTTCTCAGATCTTGTGATTTTTAACAAAAACTAAGTTTTCACCATATCACCATATCTATACCCCACTTTTCATTAAAAAAAACCCAATTTTTGACATGTACACTAGGAAACAAATTTGAATAGCATATTAAACCTATGCACCAATTTCTGTTGAAATCTTATAAGTCCGTTGTCCGTTGTCCGTCGTCATCATTAACTTTTTACATTTTGAACTTCTTCTAGAGAACCACTGAATGGAATGAAACCAAACATGGCATGAATGTTCCTTATGAGGTGCTGACCAAGTGTTGTTACTTTGTAGCTGATCCATAATCCAATATGGCCGCCAGCGGGGGACTTCTTTTAACATAGGACCCTATGGACAAAACATACAAATGTCTTCTTTTAGAGAACCACCGTATGGAATGAAACCAAACATAGAATAAATGTTCCTTATGAGGTGCTGACCAAGTGTTGTAACTTTGAAGCTAATCCATCATCCGAGATAGCCACCACAGAGGGACTTAGCTTAACATAAGACCGACCCTATGGGAAATACATACAAATGTCTTCCTTAAGAGAACCACTAAATGGAATGAAATAAAACATGGCATGAATGTTCCTTATGAGGTGCTGACCAAGTGTTGTAATTTTGTAGGCCATCAATCATCCAAGATCAGAGGCAGATTTAGAGGGTTTTCCAGGGGGCCCGGGCCCCCCCCTTTTGTGGGAAAAATTTGGTTGATTATTTCGGAAATCATTGAAGCATGACTGGAGCAGGCCCCCTCTTAGGCAGTCAGTGCCCCCCCCTTATGAAAATTTTTGGATCCGCCACTGAAGATGGCCGCCAGCGTGGACTTAGTTTAACATAGGACCCTATAGGAAATACATACAAATGTTTTCTTTTAGAGAACCACTGAATGGAATGAAACCAAACATGGCATGAATGTTCCTAATGAGGTGCTGGCCAAGTGTTGTTACTTTGCAGCCAATCAATCATCCAAGATGGCTGCCAGCGGGGAACTTAGTTTGACAAATTAAAGGACCCTATGGACAATACATACAAATGTCTTCTTTCAGGGAAACCACCAAACATGGCATGAATGTTCCTTATGAGGTGCTGACCAAGTGTTGTTACTTTGTAGAAAATCCATCAACACAGCGGACTTAGTTTAACAAAGGACCCTATGAGAAATATATACAAATGTCTTCTTCTAGAAAACCGCTTAATGGATTGAAACCAAACATGGTATGAATGTTTCTTTTGAAAGTGTTGACCAAGTGTTGTTACTTTGCAGCTGATTTGTCATCCAAGATGGCTGCCAGCAGGTGGAGTAAGTTTAACATAGGACCCTATGGAAATTCATACAACAGTTTTCTTCTAGAGAACCACTGAATAGAATGAAACCAAACATGGCATGAATGTTCCTAATGAGATGCTGACCAAGTGTTGTTACTTTGTAGAAAAACCATCATCCAAGTCGGCTGTCAGCAGGGGACTTAGTTTAACATAAGACCCTATGGGAAATACATACAAATGCTTCTTCTAGGGGAGCATTGAATGGAATGAAACCAAACATCGGTAAATGTTCCTCATGAGGTGCTGATGAAGACCTTAACACATGTATCTTTATAGATTGAGATATACTGTAAACTGAAAAAATATCAAGAAAAGAAGATCTACACATTAGTAAACATGAGCAAAATTGTCAATTGACATCTTGTTGGAGTTATTGTCCTTATACAGTCATTTTTCTACAATTTCAATGTATTTATTGGTAATTTCTGTAAACTTTACAAAAGTCTTCTGCTTTTGATTAAATTAGGGGGCCAATATTAAACCAAATTTGGCCTCAATCATTATTAGAGTATCTGTTATGATTTTAATCTATTTTTACATGCATGATTTCCAAAACCAAAGTACATTGTAGAATCAGGTGAGCGACACAGACTCTTCAGAGCCTCTAGTTGACAATTGGAATCAATTTGGAATAGTTTCATATATAAGAGAGAAGAAAGATAACAAAGGGATATTCAAACTCATCAGTCAAAAACAAACTGACAATGCCAAGGCAAAAAATGAAAAATGATCAAAAGGCAAACAACAGTATAAAAAAAAAACATGACATAGAAAACTAAAGATTGAGCAACATGAACCCCAACAAAAACCAGGAATATAAATCTATCAATTTTCATTGAAATCCTAGCACATAAATAATAGATGGTTCTCTTAATTTGTGAATTTTAAAATAAACTTTGTAAGTTTTTCATGGTAAATTTTAACCCCAAATCACAACTTACAAAATGTCAATTTTGTTGAAATTCTTACAAAAAAAGATGTTTCTCAAATTTTGTGATTTTTACCATAAGATTTTTGTTACAGTTTCTGTCCAAATTTCACAAAAAAAAAATCCCAAAAGTGTCTTCCTTTTATAGGTATCAACATTGCAAAAAAATTTTGGAAATTGATAGAGGAAATCAGACTAGAGACTCATTGTATATAACATAGAAGTTCTAACAGACAAACAGACAGACAGATATAGTGATTACTAAAAAACACTGCCGACTGGTCGGTGGAGCCCTAGCTACTTCTTAAAACCTAAAGAATTCTGTATAAATCCCATTTACTGTAATTTGATCATATAAAATTCTGCATGAGTAAATTATTAGGGAGCAAGTTCAAATATTGTTGATTATTGACCAATGATGGGAGTTCTTTTGTAGGTGCAAAACCATATCATTTCTAGTTCTTTATTGTTTCATGATATGTGCAGACCATTTCTTGTCCTGGTTTAGTTAAAACTTTGGTTACCTAGTACAGCCAACCTCTGTACCACAATCCAACAGTATCCATGCAAGTGTGAAGATGGAACATGTTTTTCATCTAACAAATATTGAAAAGGCATTTCAAAAGAGAAACAACATGTACATTGTGTCTTCTCATTCTAATCAGCCGCCATCATCAACTATTTGACAATCCTGCCACATTTTTGGAATGAGCAAATGAAATTAAAAAGAATTCAATAAACAAAAAAAGGGTGGGTTTACATACAGGTGCAAGTAAAAACAAGTCATATAAGTTTAATGACGGAGATAAGCATTGAAAGATTCAGGACCTAGGGACGATGTTACATACAAGGATATGAGAAAAATAGGTAAGTGTATTTGGAATCAGGTCTGTTTCCTCCCATAACACGTTCACCTCAATTTTTATGCAAATACAAGTTTGAATTAATAAAATGTTTTTAAGATGTATATATCATGTATATCAAAATATTTATATTTTCAGTTTTAAAAAATTCTGAATTTTTTCAATGAAGTATTTTTGTTTTAGTGATTAGATGGTTAACTATTTATGATACATGTAACTGTCGTAACAGTTATGTTGTTATTTACAAAGCTAATTTTGTATTAGTGTTATAATGAGTTGTAAAAATCATGAATGTTGTTATTAATAGCTTTGGTGTAGTTATCAAATATTTTAGTGCTCGTTTTGATTTGGAAAAGTGCATGATTTGAATGATTGTGTGAGCTGTTGATGTTTATGATTGCTTCCAAGCTTCAATGTCATTGTGACGAATTTGATGACCATTTGATACCTTCTGCCTTTCTTTTACAAAGTCTAAGATGAATGAACAAGCTAGGCCTTTGATCATTATGACAATATTCATGTGAAAGTGATTTTGGGCCAACAAACCAGGATTCAGTTCATATTGGGATGAATATACGGAACTAACTTTTAGACCATGCATCGTTAATTTTGTATCTTTTCGTCGCCGAGTATGCAATTTTTTGACACAGGACATAAAGCATTTTTCTATCTACATGTATTGTTACTGTAATGGTTGAAATAATAATGAAGGTTTAATGGTTTATTCATTGTATTGACTCATCATAACATCTTTCTATAATCTGTTTATATTGATTGATTGATTGGTGATTGCTTTACGCCGCAACAGCACAAACATGACAAAAAGGCTATATCGCGGCGATAATCTGTTTATAACAGTGAATTCAACGTTCAGTTGTTTTTTCCTCGTTTGCATTCAGAGAAAATAAAATCGAGGGGTTGGTGGTTACTGTGTTATCAATCTATTTCTAACATTAAAGTGGAGAAAGTTGAAAAACCTTTAAAAAATCCTTGCTTACCCATGACGAGTTTGTTTATCTTGACAAACCGGAAATGAATTAAAACATTCGATAACTCTCGGATTACTACCATGATTTGAAAGTAAAAAAGAAGGGCACATGCTGAGCAGATGATTTTTGTTTTGGTAAGGGATTATCCCACATTGCAGTTGTAAACAACTGTCTGATAAGTGTAGAACTGTTATTATGGTCATACTAAGGTATTAGTCTATCGAATTCTTCAATGTTTATACAGACTTAAGCAACAGAAGAATATTTTGGTTTCACTTTACTTTTTGATCTCTACGAAACCCTGTTGGAGATGCAGTACTGGATTTCGACAAAAAAAATCGACCTGAAATTAGTGTGATATTATTGTAAAATCAATAATTTTCAGCAAAGAAGATCTTTGTTACATTGTAGTTACATTTAATCTCATTCTTGAGTCTTCACAGGTGATGTATACCGTATAGATTTGGATTCCATACACACTAATCATCCCACTCGACTCTCACCTTAGTATTATTCTTTTGATGGCGGTTTCAACCGATTCGTAATGTCCTACACTGTAACTTTAATGGGTGGATCACCCTTGGGATTTAGATTCCAGGGAGGATGTGATTTCAACGAACCAATTAAAATAGCAAAGGTAAGTTTTCAAATGTTTTTGAAAGGTGTCAAAAGATTGCTAACAGTTTACAATAACTAAAAGTTTTGTAAACTTTTGTAATATATTAATAGTAGCACAAATACAAAAATGCAGCAGTATAAAAGTATGAACAATTTCCAAGCTACTTTTCAATGCATGAACTATTCTACAGTCATTTAAGAAGATAAAAATGGTATTTGCTGTAACTGTAAAATATATTCATGTTATATTTGTGTACAACTACATGTTCCAATATCCAGGAAAAGAAACAAAAACAAACATTTAAAGACTACAACATACAATTTATATGTTATATAGCAGTTTGATTTCTTGTGTTAATTGTTTGAAGTGTAATTTAAGTAAATATACAGACTATAATGTTCGTATTTATTATCTAATAAATGTAAACATGCACTGATAGATTCACATGAGACTGGTTTGGATGTGCTTGAGAGATTTTATAAGAAACTGAATAAAAATTTAAAACCATTAGGGATTTGTAGTGAATTAGTTTTTTATGTTAACCTGATAATAGTAGTCACCATTCTGTCATTCTTAATAGATTATTTGTCAACAATTTTACTTTGAATTGATAACTTTATAGTATTGTATGTAGCATATTGTGTGAATATGAAAATAGTTGAATAGGTCACATAATTTGATAGCACAAAGTTTTATAAGGTGTCCTATTAAATGTAGCCCTCAAAAAGAAATAGTTGTTATCTTTAATGATTTTGAATAAGAATTACATAGTTGAAGATTTGGATCAGTAAAAGTGATAACGATTATTTTGTTGTTTTTGCATCATCATTTTGAGAAGTAGTTTCTTGACTCATATTTAATAAGATGATTAAGGTAATATGAATGGTTCCATTGCTCTGTATCATGACTAGATCTGGCACAAGACAGGTAAATTTATTGTTTGGCATCAACCAGCATCAATCTTGCCGTTATAATCAAGGAAGTGATGTTCATCATTGCAGGCCAGGCTAATTAAAGTCTTCGTTTTTGGTTAATAAGCAACTATGTTAAATATTCCCACTGAGATGTATACACATACATGAAGTACATAATGTTGTGTCACAGTGTGTATGTTATGCATTTGGAGCTTCATATGACTGGTAATACATGTACCTACAATATATATGAGCATTATGAATTTTGAACAATCTAAATGCACTTTTAAACATTTAAACACAAGAAACTTAAGACCAATACAAAATGTATTGCAAAACTTGCTATTATACTAATCATAGCAACACGAAAAGTGGTAACATAAGAGACATAAACAACAAATTGGAAATTCCTTACACTATAGGGCCATGTATGATTGATTTAGAATACCCTTTCTTTCATTATTACCTTGTTCTTTTATTGCACACTTTAAAAACCTTTCAAAAATATTAAATTTACAATGTACAATGTATGCATACTATGTATATGCGCCTATTAACTAATTGTGATGCACTTGTTCCCTTAAAGTAGGAATTGTTAATTAAAATTCCGTTGTCTTATTAATATAATGAAGGTCATCTTCTTACGAAGAAATACAGTAATATTGTCAGTGTTATTTAAATTAAATAAACTCTACCCTATGTTGTCAGTTTTGAATAACAGTTGTAAATTCAAAGCTTTTGTTACACTCTAGATAAGAAATCAGTGCTTTAAATGGGTGTTTGACCAGTGACATACCTTATACACATTTTGGGATCATAACAACCAAGTATGAGTTGCAAGTTTGAATTTAAAGTTTTCCTTCTTAACCATTTCTACAAAAATGATTTAGGAGTTTTAAACAACTTGATTGCACAGGTGTGTTTTTTCGATACACAAATTTTTGGATAACACCCCCTCATATAGGATTTTATCATAATCACAATAACGTGGGTTATTGACAAGTAACAATTTCACTTGAGATGAACAACCACAGGCTTTAAACATATCACAGAAAAATATTTGATTTTCTTCCAAACTTTAAAACATAGATTAATTAACACTTCACCATTCTCTTTATTTTATCTGAATTGTGGGTTTCACTTTACACAGAGAATTGAAGAATAATATATTTTACTTTTACAGCTCAGTTTTATAAACTATTTGAATATTAGTACAAATTGAAATACATATGTAAAATATTGTTAGAAATAAATTATATAAAAAAATGTGGTAAGTCCACATAGAATGTTTGATAGAAATTAAACCTGGCTTACTAGTACTGTACTATTTTTATTAATCTAACAGGCTATGTGTTTGTGTATAAGTTGATTTCATATTTGGACTTGGGTCTATCCTTTCTAGTCATTTTGACAACAGAACAAATAATATTATATTGAAAGGTGGAATTAATCAAGTACACTTGTTTTACTAGAGAAAAAGAATTCATAGAATATACCCATAGTCTCTGCATGTTCTTTAAAAGTAGTCTAGTAGATCTATTTTCTAGAGCAAGCTCAAGAAAGGTATGTGAAATATATATGCAATAAAGGAGATATTTTTGAAACAGCAATGAGAACAAGCCTCCTTCCCCACTATATAACCTTAGTAATGAACAGACAGCCACACAGCCCCGGCCCACACTAGATAGCAATTAATCATTGGCCAGCTATCTTTTGATCACCCTCAGACCTGTATGTGCACCTGTAAGCTGTTAATTGAGAGATAATTGAAAATCTGAAAATCAAATCTAAATTCCTCTTATTGGCTCTATGAAAATAAAGCAACAACCACTGATATTAATACTTATTTTTCACGTGCATGTGACATATTAATGCAGAAAAGTTAACCTTGTCGTGAAAAAAATGATATTAAACTCCTCCATAGAACAAGTATCCCTCCACACCACAAACCCCTCCCTCTAAAAAAAAACCGCTGATATAGATTACAGAAACTAGCAATGACCAGTATCTTCCTTTGAGAGTAAATGCATAGTAGGGAGTAGTTTTGCATTAATTTAAGCCAATTCTTTTACCCTATCTGAAATTCTCTTTACTATTGATAAGGTAAGCAGAATCCTTCAATATTGATGAATATCACCCTTAGTCAACGACCAACCCTTCATATTTCAAGGGATTGCAATGAATATCAATGACCCACTACTACAGGACAGACATGATAAATCATGACCATAATTTTGTTGTGGCACTTAACAATTTTACTGTTTCAATTTTTTTTTAACATTTTATGATGTATATGCTTATAACTAGAATTGAATATCTTTAATATCTAGATAAAATTGTGTGTTTCTTAAAGTAATTCTGAAAAAATGTGATTAATTCAAATCTAAATTTAACTTATTTATAGTCCTCCAAATGGAAATCTTCATTTTTTCTCGTATAATACATGTACAAAAATGTAACCTTATATCATTATTTAGGGTACCATTGGTTTTTTTTAAATAGTGGAAGGTACATGTAACATTCCAACATTGAAGAGAAAGTTTCTTGGCAGACTTCTTTTGTAAATAGATAACTAACTGAGGCCAATTCATCTCTACTGAATCAGAAAAATATGTTGGAAAGTATTCAAAATAACTTCATAATTAACTGCATCAGTAAAAATTGAGATAAAACAATCGAAAGGCAATATATTATATACTCAAACTTATTTATAATGAGCATTTACCAAATCACTCAAAGTTATGTGTGTATGAAAAAGTTAGCAACTAAACATTTATTAAGAACATGCAAATACTGTGAATGAAAATCAATACATTTGTACATGATTAAGCTTCACCCCAAACTCTATAAATTGATGGAAAAAAATGGAACTTTTTACAAAACTTTTTCTGAAGTTTGGATCCTCAATGCTATTCAACTTTGTACTTTATTTGGCCTGTTTGACTTTTTTTGATTCGAGTGTCACTGATGAGTCTTTTGTAGATGATTTTGTGATTTACTCTAACAGTTAAATGTGAAACAAATTGATGGCTCTGTATATGTTTTTATTAGGAAGTGGTAGATAGAATTTGTTAACTAAAGTTTTCTAGTGAATTATTTATTAGCTTTAAAAACAAGATATACATGTATACATGTACTGATAGCATTACTGTCACTTTTAAGTTTTTAGTGCAAATCAGTTTTCTAGTTTCAGGTAAATTGTAAAACAAATCAGATTTCATTGTCTGCTTTCTACAATGTAGAACTAGCTTATAACTTATTGACAAATTAATTGTGCTGTACATAGTACTAAAATAGATGAAAGTGAAGATACAATAAAGTCCATTACTAGTATTTCCTGTGGTTGAAACTGAAATGGAAATTGACTTATGATAAGGGAGATAACTCTAGTGCCCTAGAACAAACAAAATACAGATTAAAATGTAGTTTGTTGTGTTATATTATTGAGTTGGGAAGTGGATAATTACTGAACTGATTGATGTTTTGACTCCAAATGATAACCTTGAATAATTTGTAAGAGATTTAAATCACCATGTGTTTGAAACCTAAAGCTCTATCTTTAGACACATGATATACTTGTATAATTACGGTATTAAACTTCTAAATGTCTCTTCCATTTTGCCTTGGGATAGGTATAAAATAGGACATAATATGTTTATCACTTTTTCTAAATACCATTTATTTTTATGACAGTTTTAAAAGATGAATGCATTTGGGATTTTAAAATTGTGGTTTATGTTACATGTACATTGTAAAGTTTTGGACGAGTGTATTGGCTATGTAAATATAATCCATAAAGATATTAATATCTTCACGTCTTATGCAAGCAAAAAAAAAAATGCTGGTTATTATAGTTGCCTTCTTTCTGAGGGGACTTGGCTGGTGTTCTGACGGATTCAGTATGTCTATCATGTATTTGTTCTTCAGATAAATGTATCTCCTCAAGAACAGGTGAAAAGGTCTAAGATTTCATCCTTTCTTTATATTACATTATTTTGCATCATGCATTTGGTGTTCCAAAAGAAAGATTTTACAACATAAATATACATGTAAATAGGCATCAAACTATGAGAAATCCTCTGTGTAGATATTCATGTGCATCTA